TATCTATGTATATATGTATGTATGCATGCATGTATAGGTTTATGGATGCGCAAGGTTGTGTATAAAGAAAAGTAGGTTGTCAAACAATTAAAGAGAAATACTTATAGATTGTGTGTTACATTTACATATAAATAAAGTATAGATAGATAGATAGATAGATAGATAGATAGATAGATAGATAGATATGAATAGACTGAGATAGATAGATAGATAGATAGATAGATAGATAGATAGATAGATAGATAGATAGATAGATAGATAGATAGATAGATAGATAGATAGATATGAATAGACTGAGATAGATAGATAGGTAGATAGATAGATATGAATAGAGTGAGATAGATAGATAGATAGATAGATAGATAGATAGATAGATAGATAGATAGATAGATATGAATAGACTTAGATAGATAGATAGATAGATAGATAGATAGATAGATAGATAGATAGATAGATAAGTCAGGGAAAATATAACATTTTTTTTTTGGCTCACGCCACTCGTCAAAATCTCCAATAAGTCTTCCGCCATTTTTATTCTCATTTTTCACCTCGGCACTCCATCGTCCCCGCTACTCCTTTACTTGCTGACATTGAAAAGCTTACTACTTCACCGGAGGCGAAATTCCGATTTTAATTTTTTTTTTTTTTTCTACTTTGTCAGCTGAAGCTTTTGTCTATGTCATAGTTTGGTCTTACATATTAACTGTCCTTGTACATCTCTCCCTTATATATATATATATATATATATATATATATATATATATATATATATATATATATATATATATATATATATATATATATATAGGTGTGTGTATGCATATATGTATGTACGCAAATCTATGTAACTTTATGTAAACACTGGCATATTCAATTTATATTTATCCGTTATTCAATATATCAGTTTATTTTATGTACATGCATACATGTATTGGGTGATCACGCGCATTTGTGTGCGTGGGTTTTTGTGCGTGGTTTTGAAGAACTGCATATAAACATTATGTTCTTACATTCGGGTGCATTTATAAGTACGTGTCTCGTTTCTGGAAATCTCAGTAAAATCAGTGCAAAAGAGAAAATGGAATTGTTGAAGAAACATTCCTCATCAAAGACACTGAAATATTTTAGACTTTCGTCAATGTTTACACTTCAGTTTTAAGAAAAGTTTCGTTTAGCACCAGGAGTCTTCATTGGCATCATGGATCTAAATATTTCTGATCAAAAGTATCGCTTTCATTTTTCATTTTTGCTAATTATATATATAATTTACTCGAAAATTATAACATAAACATGTTCATGTTATAAATACTGTGATAGATCTAAACTCAGTTTATCATTGATTATGATTATAGAAAGTGTCTATAATGTCAATCGCCAATATATTTATTTAGATAAGTCTTTAATAACTTAATAAGTTCCATCTCAGTAAAATTGTACACCTATCAACAGTTTCTTATATTGCGTTTTGTTTTTACTTTTTGCTAAGAAAGTTCTCATTTTACTTAACTCTTCTACAATAAAATTGAATTGTGTGCACACGAATACACACATACAAACATGTATGCATATGTGTGTGTGTGTGGGTGTGTCTGTGTGTATGACAGAGTTTGTGTGTGTAATTATTCTAATCTAATTACTTGAAACAATGCCCTCTTCCTGCCCTAAAACAAAGAATAGAAATAAATCCAGAGGACATAATCACGAACATTTGTATTCGTTGTGTGTGTTGAGTGTTATGTTAGTGTCGGTCTTTCTGGAAGCCCCAGTATTGTATCTTCTCATCTCATGCATAAGCCCTACGCCCATTACATCTGACTCTATTCGTCAGATGTTGAAATGCTGTCTATAATGAAAGTTTTCTTTTTATAAATAAACTATTGACCATCCTTATAATGTCAACTGAATATTAAACCTAATGATTTTTAAAAGTAATTTAATATCATTTCCGCTTAATAATGTAAGAACTAGAAACAAAGAAAAATAAATTTGTTTTCATAATTCACTGCTATTAAGATAAACAGTATGAAACAAAAGAAAACGCTTTATTTGCAATACTTCGGCTAAATTAAAGTTGGTCCATTCACAAAGGTAAATCTTAAAAGCCAATTTTGTTCTTTTCGTTTTCGAGAGATAGTCATTATGTATCTGTAAAATGTATTTATAAACATTAAAAACAAATTATCGATCAAGGATTATAACTAAAAGCCCATCCAGTGCGTAGTGACTTTCAAGGAATCAATTAAAAATTACCTTTCATCATCAATATTTACAAGACACGGTAACGTAAAATAAAGTGAAAGTTATCAATAAAAGCTAGGAAAAACTGTCGCTTATATATATATATATATATATATATATATATATATATATATATATATATATATAACAATGGAAAATCTTATATACATTGCTGTTTATAACATTTTCCATTGTTTAAAAAGAACACCATGCCAGGTAATTGTTTTCCAATTAAAAGTAAATATTGAGTCGGAACAAACATTCGTATATTTTTTCAGTGGGTGGGTTATTTTGTTTCCCACGTGATTTAAATGTATGAAATATATATATTCTGGAAGGTGACATTTTAACGCGTCTTTTTATATGAATTGTATGTAAAACATTGTAGCGTTTAAATCTTTTTACGTTTGAAGTGAAAAAGGCGAAAAGGAAAAAAACGCAGTGTAAACAGCAAAAATATATGTACCGTTTATGGAGATGGTGCTATAGCTGAGAGTACTGTTCTTTAGGTTCAGAAGGAGAAGTTTTGATCTTGAAGTCCAATAACGATCAAGCAAACCTCCAACTGTCGATGATAAACAAATCGAAACGCTGATTAAAACAAGGAATCGTAGAAACATCGCCCATATGAACGTTGACTTGGATACGTGAATTCCTACGATGTTTGGGTGCCCCACGATTTAACGGATAAATTTAATGCATCCATTTTCAGCAGCGATTTTCTGATCAAGTACAAAAGATGACCAATTCGTTACAACAATATGGTACGAGAATGTCCGTTAGAAGTAAGGAGATGGTCTAACGTTAACCACTTCAAAATACCGGGCTGCATCCGAAAATGATTCTGTGTATCTTTGAGAATTTGGAAAGAATCGTGTACTAGATTGAATTAAGGTAATTACTGTTCACATTTTGACCGATTAAAGGCAACAATCGATGAAAAGCTTTCAGAATTGGCCAATCGGATGGGTGTCGACTTCTATCAGGACAACACCTAATCTCACTATATAGGTGCAAACATTACAGAAACAGGTACAGCTTGTCTGGGATGTCCTACTGCACCCACTGTACTAACTTGGTCAGGCATATTTGGATCACTCATTTATTTTGAACCCGGCAAATTTCTTTTTAGGAGAAGAACTTTAGTTTATCTGAAAGCCTATAAAAGCCACTTAGTCTGTTTCATCATCCAGAATTATGCCAAGATTCGTGGGGATGGAATCATGAAGCCGCCTCAAAGATGAACAAATGTAGTGGAACAAAACGGCATGAATAGTTGAATAAATTGACAATGTTTAACCTTATGCTCGCAAAAAAGGTGTGTCAAATGAACTGTTATTTCCTTGACACCGCTATTAAACCGTTTATTTTACACCCTCGCCAATGTTTATTGCTTTCAAAAGCGATTATTAGAATTTTGATAAAATCCAAAAATATGAAAAGTGCATTTTCTTTATTCTTGAGAATTGACAACAAAAATATTAAACATTATTTATTAGATTGCTTATTTACAAGAACAAGTTTGAATTTACAACAAAAATATGTTAACCAGTTACAATGAAATATTGACTATTTACCATTTTGCAAAGAATTAAATATTTAAAAATATTCAAGAACATTTAAACAAACATAACAATGAGTCACTGTAATAATAAATTTTTAAAAGATGCATTTTCCTGGTTTTTCTGTCATTTGCTCTTCACTAAAATAGGTTGAGAGATTTTCTTTCTCAAAGGAAGGATTCTTTTAATTTTAGATTTTATGCGAGACCACAAACATTCAAGATTTTGAGCAGGTATTCTTTGAATGGACAAACTTTTCCTTGTGTTTAATTAGAGAATTTCAAATTTTTACCGCAAATATTGCATTATTGTTGGTTTACATGTTTTCATAATTTTGAAATTTTTATAAATTTTTTAATAAAAATATTTCTTTTCGAATTTATTTCTTTACAAAATGGTAAATAATAAATATCGCATTTTAATTAATTCAAATATTTTTTTATAATCTTGTAAATAAACATGAACAAGAGAGTAAAACTAGCGATGTAATACCATCCTTTTATCATACCGTTTTTTACTGACTCGAAGGTTTAACATTGCCAATAAATCTATGTAGAAATATTTAAATGTTGTCGTGATATTCACTTAAAAAACCGATACGATCTTTTGTTCCGATCGAATATATAAAGATGATTTATATCTTTTGGTAATAACTTTTGTTTGCTTCTATAGAGGCGCTGATGAACTTACTAAATTGTATTTCTAAGTTGAACTAGCATTTTGGATTAAATCTAAAACTGTGTCACATCGATGATTGTTATTACAAAATTCATAAAAAAAGCATTCATTATTTATGACTTCATAAAATCTGGCTTCACCGAAACAAAAAATAAAATCCGCTAACGTCGCAACAAATCTTGAATTTTCAAAATTCCTTTCAGAAATAATATGTCGGTTAATCGATGATTTAGAGAAAACATTGATTTGTTAATTCGTTTTCTACGGTTTATCAACCCTTTTCCGATTATTTAAAGCCAGAAAATATTTTTAGACTGTAACAATTTTGGGTGGTGGGTAATGATTTAGTGGTACATATCTTACTAAATTAACGGATAGCTGGGGAAAAAGAGGTGAATTCATACCTTTTCGAAAGTTATTTGCTCGTAAGTGAATATAACGAACCCAACTGGAATTGGAATTCGGAACCTCTGATTAACAATTCCGTGCCATTATCCATTATGCCACCCGCATATCCAAGCTTATAGCACCCGGTATTCCCAAGTGGCCACCCATCTAGGTATTGACCAGACTCGACGTTGCTTAACTTCGGTGAACGTAAGGGAACCTGTCTTTCATTGTTATATGGCCGTAAGCGTTTAGAGAAAGCAGACGACCAGCAACTTTGAAAATGGCCCTTAATATATCCGACACTTCTCGAAGGGTCAAACCTTGTGTATTTGCTGATGTTAAGGCAACGTTTCGGCCCCTCAGTTATTTAGCCATTGGCAAAGTGGTTTTCTTTTTCTCATTAATTTTCATGAAGGCCTGAAGAATGGGTCAGCTGAAACGTTGTGTTAGTAGCAGCAAATACACAAAGAAGAGGTTTGAGTCTCCAAACAGTAGTGGATATAGATTAGCAGGAATTTATACAACGAAAAACATAATCAAATCCTTTTTTATTGTCTGGCTTTGTTCTCTATGCTACATTGTATGATAACAAAGAACTTTCTAATGAATTACACCAGAGCGAGATTTGATGAAATGTTTCTTTTCTTTCTTGAATATTTGTTCTTTTCTTCTGGTGAAATAACGCATAGTTATTTCTTTTATTTCACATTTTAAAGATGATGCTCATAATTTAAATAAGTTAACAAATAAATTCGTATAACTTTAATAAAATAACAACAGGAGGTAAGACAAAATTATAGTTTTTTTTTCTTACTAACGACTTTGATTCACTTACTTCCCTTTAATTCATTTCAATGTATCATTTTATGACATTTTCTGTATCGATCTTAACAACAGCTCGCATGTCCTCAGTGGTATCTCTGACTGCGCATGTGTAAACGCAACATCACACCGGAATATTTGACGCGCTTGAAGGAAAAAAAAATAATTTGAGCTGAAATACGTTTTTATTTTCATGAGGATCAACATTGATAGCTCCAGAACACAGATCCAGTGCACAATAGGGTCAATTAGGAATAAATTGAAAGTTTTTATTTGCATCTATATAAAATGATTCATCTATTTATGTAGCTTTAGGGTTGTTTCTCCGCGAGCATTTATCTTCATACATTGATATATCATATACAGATACCAATATTTAAAAGAAATACATCTGTAATATGTTTCTGCCTATGTTGTTTATGCATGTAATATACATATATATATATATATATATATATATATATATATATATATATATATAAATGTAATTTAAAATTTAATATATATATATACATATATATATATATATATATATACATTTAATCGAACTTGTTTGTTCATATATATATATATATATATATATATATATATATATATATGAACAAACAAGATTGATTAAATTCGGCCGACAAGGTCTGTCAGTTTATTTTTTTTTTGTATTCCAATATTCTATATTGGGATCAAAATTATGGATAAACTTTCGGAAGTTCATGTTTTATATTATTCAAGTACATTAGATCCTCTCAGTGATTTTCATCAACCATATGGTGTCTGTGTGGTAGTCAAGATTTCGTTGGCGACGCATATATATATATATATATATATATATATATATATATATATATATATATATATATATATATATATATATATATATATTTTATATATATATATATGATTTTCTTATTTCCTCTTTTATTTACGGCATTAAGCCCTCTTCTTCCCTCGATGTTTTTCAAGTGTGCTCCTTTTGAGTCACTTTATATATATATATATATATATATATATATATATTTTTTTTCAATTATTCTGTCTTCTCTAATCTGGGTTTAACGGAAAATTTTCCTTTTGTTTTCCGAAATACAATCTTTATTATTATTATAAATGCATATATATATATATATATATATATATATATATATATATATATATATATATATATATATATTAGTGTATTTATATATATATCTTGACGCGGTATATTTCACTCTCAGTAGATTAACATGTATGTGTGTGTAAGTATAGTAAAACCTCGAATTAACGGTCCCGGAACCAACAGTCATTTGATTTAACGGACAAAACCCTCAGAAATGGTAGTAGCGAGCAAAGTCCGTTAGTTGCAGAATTGGCCGCTGTTCTATATTAGCGTAATCAACAGACAGAGACTGGTAGTTCCAGGAAATAGCCGCTGTACAAATATCGTGTACAAGTCGTCGTGTACAAATATGCATCGTGCCTCAAACATTTTAGACTGATTTTTAGACCAGCACAGCAATGTTTGAAGGTAAGTTTAGATAAACATTAAAACTTTTCAATCTTTATTTAAAGGTAAATTTAAAACGTAACATACACAGCGTCTCTCTCTCTCTCTCTCTCTCTCTCTCTCTCTCTCTCTCTCTCTCTCTCTATTTACCTATCTATGTATGTATCTATGTGTGTGTGTGTGCAACTGATTTTAAGTTACTATATAGTAACTTAAAAATAAGACACATACATATATACTGTATTTATATTTATTTACAATAATTTGTAATGTACTGGATGTTTTGGGCCACTAAAACACTATTAACGAACAAACAGCTTTAACGGACGACCCTTTGCGCTATTAGTCCGTTAAATTGAGGTTCCACTGTACGTGTGTGTGCGTGTATGTGCGCATAACTCTAGTGTGTATGTCTTTTGTTTTACATTTTCGTACTTATATCGCTACCAATTAATTTTATCTATTATAAGAGAGCAAATGTTTATTTTTATTCATTCTGTCATTTTCAAAAAAGTTCGCTGTGAATTTTAACTCACGTCTAATATCTATATGTATTTATAAGTGTAAATATTGAAATAAAAGTTCGCCGTGTATGAGTCCTTCAATACATCTTTAATAATCAAATATCTATCGACAGATATGAAAATGAATATATTATTTTTTCTTATTCTGAATACCGTGTTTCTTCGTGACATAGCTTATCATGGCTCTTAATAGATTTAATTTTTTTATCATATGTGAATTTCTTTGGAAAGAAAGTAGATTGGGTTATTGTTGTTTTCTCCACGGTTTGCAATTCAGTGTTATACTTTTAGATAGGCTGCCCACCCATGACTATAAAGCCCAGTCGACCTTGCTATTTAATATATAGCTAGAGGGAGGGTGAAAGATCAATTTTTTATAATGAAGTAGAGGTGCCGATTAAAACGATAACATGTGACTTGAATCTTCATTACTTAACATTATATTCACTCCAATACTCCATCACTTACGCTCGACCAGTCTGTGGTATGTGGCCCTCTCGTCACTGCCCACCGGACCGACACGCAGAATCTACATTCTCTATCTGCAGTGTCTGAAAACACTTCGAAATGAGATCAGACAAATATCGACAGGATAAACGCTTAGCAATGGGCTCACCATTATCATCAGCAATGGCAAAGATATACATAGAATACTTAGAAGAAATTGCATTAGAATCCACATCACTAAAGCCAACCCTATGGCTGAGATACACTTCTGGGTAATTTTTTCTATAATGGTATTTTCAACCTTTTTAGTTCTCACGCTTACAATACCGGATGCAGATATGAGGTGACGTACTTTTGCATTCCTTGGCTGGGACCCATCATTTTATCTACTGGGTCATGTTTCCTACAGGATATCAGTGTATGAATTTTTGGACCTTATAAACTTAATGTCTCAGTTACCATTTTTTATTGAAATTATTTATTTATTTATTTTTCTTATTATTTTTTCCTCTAGCACTTCTTATTACTGGTTCCCATATTGTATTCATTTCTATGCTTGGCCGGCTTAGGAGATTTTTGTTCTGATTCCTTAAGTTTTCGTATTTTATAGTGATGTTCGCTGTCTATTATTTCAGCCTCATTCCACAGGGTGGGGGTGATCTCCCTTTTCCCTCCATATGTAGTCAGCTACACCTGATTTTTCTATTTCCCCTTGTGTTACGGCTTTACAATGTCCTTGCAGTCTACCTTAAGGAGACGGCCTGTTTCTCCTTTAAATTTCTTACCACAGCGGCACAGGATGGCGAATACACAGTCCTTAGTCATGTTCTTCTCTATGGGAGGGGGTCTTACTCGGAAGCGGTGTCTGCTAAGTGTTGATGTTATATGGACCACAGATCTTTTGTATTTTTCCCATAATCTCTTCACATAGAGTAAGTAGACCAAAGCTGTTTTCTTCTTGTACCATTCTATCCCAGTTTGTCGAAGCTGCCGACATGCACCCAGGGTAGTTGTAAGGTACTGGTCATTCCTTGTTCATATGTCTCTGGGTCGCGACTTAGGACATTTTTACGTCTTGAATCTATGCTCTGTTCGAGATATTAGTAAATCCAGGAATGCGAATTTGTTGTCGTTTTCTTTCTCCATTGTGAACTGTATCGATGAGATTATTGAGTTCACATGGTTCATTAATAGCTGGACCTCTTCTTGGTGCGGCCAGAGTATGAAGGTGTCATCTAAGTATCTCAGCCATAGGGTTGGCTTTAGTGATGTGGATTCTAATGACATTTCTCCGAAGTATTCCATGTATATATTTGCCATTGCTAGTGATAATGGTGAGCCCATTGCTAAGCCCTCATCCTGTCGATATATGTCAGCTCTCATTTCAAAGTGTCTTGTTTGTGCTGAAAAAGTCAGCATATCTACCAGGTTATATATTGATATACTGGTCCGTCATCCTAGTGATGAGTCAGAAGCTAGTCTCTCCCTGAACACCCGTAATGCCTCCTCCGTGGGTACCTTGGTGAACTAATTCTTTTTTCCTTTATATATATATATATATATATATGTGTGTGTGTGTGTGTGTGTGTGTGTGTGTGTGTGTGTGTGTGTGTGTGTATAAAGGAAAAAAACAATACGAAGACTGTATGCTATGCGTTTCGTCCAATGTGGACTTTTTCAAGGCAAAAATGAAATGAATTTATTGAAACAAAGTATCTATAATCAAAAAACAAAATGTCGTTAGTAACTAGAATAATTTAGAAACGCTATTATATATTCACAGGGCAAACTGAAAAATTACGTAATTTACTTTTTATGTTTGAAGAGAATTTTTCGCATGTAGAGATATTGTTTTTATTGTTGTGTTATCGGATTCAACCGTGTTCTTTTGATTTCTTGCGCGCGAGCGTGTGTGTGTGTTTCGAGTATATGAAGCCTAGGATGGCAGTCCATCTAGGGGAATGGAAA